TTACAAGAAAAATATACAAAGTATTAAATTTAAATTTATATATAGATATATATATATATATATATATATATATGTATATATATGTATATGTACTGTTTTAAAACAGGAAATTGAGCATAAATAAATGATTAAGATGTCATTAAGAGTAGTTTGATATCAAATGCTCCAATCTAGAAAAACATACCAAGAATTGTTCACAGTATTGTTGATAGAAACCAGACGTCTGAAGTGTTTAATGCCTCTTAAAGCTACATCACAGAAAGCCATTATAGAAAAATAGTTGTGAATGCGCTGCCTGATGTCTGAGACATAGTTTTACTAAAATATGTTGGCCTAAGCCACACGCATTGCACAGGTCACCAGTCCATCACAGACCCTGGTTGCCCAGCCAGGGAATCAAACCCTTCTTGCTGTGAGGCAATATATATATATATATATATATATATAATATATATATATATATATATATATATATATATATATATATATAATATGCAGTTCTTACTTTATCATTATCAACATTACATCTAAAAACTCAGAACACACATGCAGGCTCACTGGTTGTTCTAGTGAATAAAATAGTCATATTTGCGTTGTGGATATTGTGTAGATATTGGTTCCTATCAACACCACTGTGAAGAAATCTGGGTCTCTATGCTACACACACTGGTTTGGGTCAGATAGTACACATTAAAGATAATATATTTGCCAAGTAGCATGTCCTTGTACAAAATAGTGATTTTATAAAAGAGTCATAAACAATACAAAAACAGCTAAGATGCACCTAGATGTGACAGTGGTTTCCACTAAGCAGGGTAAAAAGAGAGAGAGGCATGATACATTTCAATACAGTGTTTTGAACTTTCATCCTTGCTCTGTTTTTTGATAATGTATTGAAATCATTACTGCCCTATTGCTCACAGCTGTCATATGCATGGAGTCACTATAACTGTCACTCCATTTGTTTTTACATCAAAGCTTCAGGTGAACAGCTGTGGACAGACCACTGGAGATTCTTTCTCTGAATGTTAGCCTGGCTCACACCTACATGTCTATTCCCATTCTCAAGCATTTGGAACACGAATCTCAAGTAGAACAAGCAGCATATAAAGATTTATTTATATTGATTATATATTTGTCGGTTTATTTCACAGTCCTGTCTCCTCATACCACCCTGCATAATGATTTTATGTTCTGAAAAATGTCTGACAATGAGGTGTTTTTTGAAATGGACAATAGCGACCTCTGCAGGGAGGAGGAGTGAAAGAGTCACAGTTATCTGCGGAGGATACGGCCACCAAAACAAACCGATTACAATATTTGGAGGGGTCTGCACATAATATGCATTTTTTTTGTTTTAGTAGAAATTGTAGTAATCGTCAGGATTACAGTCCCTTTTATAAAACGAATTAAGCCCCTTCTTCAGAGAAGATAGTCCCCTATTTTATATAGCTTATATTACTTTTATCAGACAAGAAATGACTGTAAACAGAAACAACATCTGTTCATCACGAGTTAATTTCAGTGAGAGCTTCATTAGCTGTTATTTGGCGAATGGAGGATTTCACGCAGCCATGCGTAGTTTCGCTAATCTGTAAATAACAAGGTCCTTGGAATGGTCGAGTTTATGATTTGTAGATCAGAGGATCTGCACGCATGTCGCGTCCCAGGAACATTCCCTGAGACTTTTGTTTCCCCCGGATGTGTTTCGAGCGCTTTAACTGAGCAGCAGCTTCAGCAGCTTGGCTTTTCACAAAGGGCTCACATCATGGCTTTGGACGTGAAGTCCAGAACGAAGCGGTACGAAAAACTGGACTTTCTTGGAGAGGGACAGGTAATGCCCAACACGAAATGCGCTTAATGTGCCAACCGAAGTGATCCTTGTGCAGCTTTATCGGTAAAATAAAAAAAATTGGACCCCGTTAGCTTAGCAACGTAGCCGCCGAGCGGCAGCATTAACGTTATAAGTTATCGTGACGGTGAAATAACCGATAACGGTACCGCTCTGAGGAGCTGTGTCTGCGTTTCCCTCTTAACTCTTTAGGGATTTCATTAAACCCACAGAGTAAATCATAGTTAGTAGTTCACTATAGTAGTTCAGTTGTTCATCAGCCATGAAGTCCAGTATTAAATTGAAGAAATAAAATGCAGACATTTGACGTGAACAAATGAATGGCGTCGTTATATGAAGGTGAATCGGTGTGTCATGTTCCTAAGCCTGATGATATAGTAACCAGCTTTCCTGTCAAATGTGGATAGTGACTAACCAAGATATATTTACATTTACAGTTTTAAAGAGTTCGTACTTTGCAGAGTGTTTTTAAATAATAATATTTAGTATAATATATACATTTATATACTATAGGGGTGGGCGATAAGGCAAAAATATATCACGGTACTTTTTCATGATATAGGATAGGCATCACAATGTTTAGTTTTTCTGAGATTTAATAGGCTAGAACAGACAAAACATAAAATAAAATACAATAATAGTAATAGTAATAATATATTATTTATAATAAGAAACCTACAACTGCGTTGATTTTTGTTCAATGTTAAATACAGCCCTAATTTTGTAAGGAAACACAGTCAGTGCTCTTTAACTACTGACAGTGTCCACAGTATGCTCAGAAAACCGTATTGTGACATGATTTATCGTGATATTGGTTTTTGGTTTTGTATATAAAATTTTATGCAACAGTTAGTTCCGGCCATGCAAGCTGATTGGTTGAGAAGCGTTTTAACTGTGCTGTTATTTTGCCATAACATCACAGGTTTTTCACAAACACTATCACTCCGCTGAGACGCCGTTGCTAAGCAACGACTTTAACAGCTGTAGGAGACGCTCACGCCATTTGAACGTTTTTACTTCTTACTTTGCACATAAACAGAAAATAGACACTTTTAAGATCACATTTGACCGACAGCCGATTTGGGCAGACTCTGAAGATGAGACTACACTAAATTCCCAAACTGTCAGTTGGTCTGTGTGAGGAGCTGGAGAACGAAGGAACTATAATTTGGCGGAAGGAATCACTAACATTAAAACATGTTAAATGCCGTGTTCACAATTTATTTGTTTCTTACTTTATTTATTTAACTGTTGTATAAAAGCAATAGAACGCTCAAGGTCGTGTGTTATCGCCTTCGGCTCGTGCATGCCACCCCCTCTCCCTCTCATGTTCTATTGCTTAAATATATTTTAATCTTTTACCAGTAGCTCTTAATTTCTTCTGGGTTTGCTTTTATTTATGTCCTGCTTGTTAACAACACCTAGATTGCTTTGCCGTTGCCCACATCTCTCATTTTCAATTAGTGTTTTATTGTAGGCAAGACATGTTTATTTATACAGCATGTTTCATACACAAAGGCAATACAGTGTGCGTCACATAAATAAAAGCAAAAAGGAATGTCTTCTCAAAAGGAAAAAAAACAAAATGCTTAAGAGTGAAAAAATAAAATGACAGTAGCTTATCAAACAGATAATTACAAGGCAGTGCAAAGTACATAAAAGTCTAATAAAAACAAAAAAAGAAATTAAAGGGCTTAAGTGTCATTAAAATGAGCTTATTATGGGCAAAAGTCCATTTAAAAATAGAGTGCAAATTTTAGAGCTCAGTCATAAGCCATGAAAAGAGAAATAGATTTACAAATCACTACATTTGGGGCACATCTAAGATCTTACGGCAGTTTGCTCCAGTTATACGTAGCATAACAGTTGAGTCCTTCTTCCCCATGTTTAGTTTGATTCTAGACCAGATAATTTATAAAATTAAAGAACCTTAATAGTTGACTGATTTTGTCTGGTAAATGACATCATTGTCACCTGCTCATTACTTGAGGAGTGTCTGGATCTGTTTTTTTGGTAGATAGTTTTTATTTCTATGATGGACAGTCATTTTTTTGCACAGTACAGTACGTCTAGGACCAGGTATCGAAATTGACTACTTTCACAGTGTCAGCTGAATTACTTCAATACTAAAGAGTATTGAAATATTCCATGTCATTCAATACCAAATTTTATCACCCAAGTTGTCAATCCTTTTAGCATCTGTGAGCCAATAAACATGCTTGTTCCACAATCCAGAGTGCTGATATTCTGTCTAAACTACATTCCATAAGCATATTTTCATTGTCAGTGCTTCTCGATTAATTAGCATTTAATTGTGATCTGTAAATACATCCACTTTCTACAGTGCAGTTCTAGTGTCAGTTACACCCACTTAGGTATGGAAAAACGTATTGTTTAGGAATCAGTATTGTCATAGTTATTGTGTCAGTATTGAACATTTTTGACTCTCATTATTTTTGTGCTCCCTTGGTGGCCTTCTGGTTAGCTTCTCATTTATTTAGGCTATAATGATTCACAAAATTCATGATTTGATTTGATACAATAGTCTCTTAATTCGATACATTTTTGATACAGAAAAACAGAAGAAGTGGTTTAAAATGTGCTTTATATGTAATAGTAACATTTTCAGTTTAGTACAGCATTCAGCATTACAAAAGTACAATATTTGAACCAAAAGCTGTGCCTTAAGTCCTAATCTAATGGACTAGCCACAAGCTAATATATTAACCCCAAGCTGACATGATAGTTACAGTACACCTTTTAAAAAAATGATTCTTCAAGGGTTCTTTAGTAAAGGCGGTGGTTCCGTGTAGAGCCATAAACAGTCTAAGAACCATTTAAATGCATAATTGGTTTTTCTCTATGATGGAAAGCCAACTAAAAACCCTTAAAAATGGTTCTGTAACAAAAAAAGCAAAAAAAAGGCTTCCACTATTGCTACAAGTCAAAGAACCATGTGTAGTACTATTTAAAACCCTTTTTTATTAAGAATAAATGTATCTAATTGTTTTGCTGCATATTACAACATGGTACGTTGTGTTTTTACATTCTTATTATTTAACCTGTGTTTGTAGAAGCAGTTTTATGCTTTGAGATCATTCATCATTCATCATTCATCACATCTCCTGTTGTTCTATGACCTTTGCAGTTTGCCACTGTTTACAAGGCAAGAGACAAAACTACAAATACCATTGTTGCAATTAAGAAGGTAAGAAGTAAGCTTTTAGTATTAAATACTGAATAATGATCAGAATAGCTGAAAATTAGCATTTATGTAAATTTTATCATCTTCAGTTTATCTTCTGAATGACGGCTCTGTAAACTTCTCGTTTTTATTCTGAACAGATTAAAGTCGGACACAGAACAGAGGCCAAAGATGGTATGTGCACTGGCCTGCGCCATTTTCTTCAGATAATATTGCCATATTTTGTTTGTTTTTGTCTCACATCAGCTTCTCATCTTGTCTTTCAGGCATCAACAGAACAGCTCTCAGAGAGATTAAGTTGTTGCAAGAGCTAAGCCATCCAAACATTATTGGAGTAAGTAATATGAAAGAACTCTGTAGCGATAGTCGAGCAGTATTAGCCACACAAAGCGAAGCATTTGGATATAATGCATATCAAAGTACTTACACTTGTGCTTTAATGTTAATCATCTTTTCTTTCAATGCTTCTAAAGCTCCTTGATGCCTTTGGACACAAATCCAACATCAGCCTCGTGTTCGACTTCATGGAGACAGATCTGGAGGTAAACATGGGACCGGATTTGCCAGCATTTACATGCCAACTACTTATGAGTCCTAAGCGTCTCTGTGTGCTTTTGTCATACTATTTAAAACTGGCCCCTTCAGACTTTGCATTCAGCTCAAGTCCTAATTGGATTTTAGCAGCAAAAAGCAAAAGCGGAGTGGAGAAAAGGCAGATGGCCCCTCCTAATGGTACTTTAAAAATCAATATGGCCTCTTTTATCACTTTAGCCAAACAGCTATTATGAAATTAGAGGGCAGATGCCAAAAGCAGGCAAATGATTTTATGAGGATGAGATGTGATAGCAAAACATAGCACATGTTTATTTTTAACCTGTTTTAATGGTTATAATGTGGGTTGACAGAGTACTTGTTTGCTGAGGGCCTTTTTTCTGTTGCTATTTGCTGTTTGGAAAGAGTTTGTTGCCGTGTATTAGTGAAAATTTACTAGCTGAATGGGATTGAGTCTGGATTAGAAAAAGAATCTTCTGCTCTTATGAATTTTCTGTACTGCCAGTTCTCAACTGACCTTTTGCAGAGTTCTGACAAGTCCCGCCTGCCCTATTTACTGTTGTTATGTCCATTTGTCTTTCAGCTCAGGCCTCCTGGTAACATTAGTAGCACCTCTGCTAACAGAAGTTTAGTAACACAGATGAACATATAAAAGCACACAGAGAAAACATTTTGTTATTGAAAAACAATGTTATGTTCAGTGCACACAAATGTTTGAGAATCAACTAAATGTGTGGCTTAATTTAAAACAACCAAAAAAATGATTTCTATTACTGCATCTGTTGTTACCTCCCCATGATTGTTCTGAGGAGTTTGGCTCACTGGCTGAGTTGTCACTCATTATTTTACAGATGGTCAATTGTAAAATGGAGCTTCGCGTATTTATTTGGTTTGCAGAGGAACGGAATTGCTATGTGCAACATATAATGGAAACAAAACATGTACAACATGATTGTACAGTTTTTTTTTTGGTTTTTTTTAATGATGCGATTTGTCTGCTGAATATGCCCTTTGAACCTTACATTCACAAATCTCATTGTGAAATGTAGGTTTATTCATAAGAATGTTAGCATTTTAGGGAGGAAATTTGTGTAATGTTTTTTTTTTGTTTGTTTTTTTTTCCCTCTTTTTTCAGGTGATCATAAAGGACACTAGTCTTGTACTGACACCAGCCAACATCAAGGCATACATCCTGATGACCCTGCAGGGACTAGAATACATGCACAGTCACTGGATCCTACACAGAGTAAGTTTTAATGGGACATTTTCTCTCTTAATATCAAGAAATATCAAGAAATAAAATCAAGAAATTTCATTTCATCGTCTCTTTCCTCTCTTCCAGGATTTAAAGCCCAATAATTTACTGTTAGATGAAAATGGGGTCCTGAAACTTGCGGATTTTGGATTGGCAAAAGCCTTTGGAAGCCCTAATAGAGTCTATACGCATCAAGTAGTGACCAGGTATGATCACCTTATTGTAGCTGATACTGCATGTGTGTGAAGTAAGAATGGGGGACTGAATTATCACTTGGAATTATTGGCTTTATTTCCAATATCAGGCTGATGATAATATATTGCCCATCAATTTACATTGTATTGCACTATGTAGGGAGCAGGGAGCGGTTTGAGTTTCAGCCCCAGTGTGGGAAAAGGGACGTTAGCTTGGCGCTAAATAAGACTTGCGGGGTTAATTTGGTGACCAAAAGGTACTTATGAAATGCATGTTTTTGCATTAAAAAGTGATTCATGTTAATTATTATACAACAAAAAGTTCATGCAATGACTGCAATATACAGTGATGGACGACTGTATTCTGCTTTGTGTCATTCCCTGTGATAAAATTGCAGCAACGCATGGTTTTCGTGGCTTGTTGCTTTATTTTATGACTGTGAAAAATATTCTTGCATATTTTTTATTATTGCATAGCAAGAATGTGGTTGTATGTGTGCAGTAATAAGGAACTCTATATAGCTTTCATTAATAAAGCAGATTTTCTTATTAATAGAAACCTTTGTTTACACTATGGCTTAGTCAGGTGTCAGCTCCGTAATGCATGTGACCGTGCTGCTTAAAAAGCAGCAAGCGTTTAAAATGGATACTGCAGTCCAAATGGAAAATATTGGAGTTATCTGCCCCTGTCCCCTCCTCACCAGACTCAAAGCTCACGTGGGTTGCCAGGTTGAGGACACTGAACCTGCACAAATGAGTGCAAGGTTAAACAACAACATTTGACAGCATTAAACTTTGACAGTAGCAAATGAGGAGTCACACACTAAGTTGATTAGCTAATGTAACATAATGTAACATAATAAAACATTTGCAGTTTTCATTGTTTGCAAATTATAAACCAGCTTGTGGATTTTTTTTTAAACTGTCAATATTAGGTAGATGTGTGGCAGGCTATGTATGGTAGCTGAAGTCTGTTGTCCTGAAATCAGAAGCCCACTGCTCCAAAAATATTCACTGCCTTGAAGTCAGTGTCTTATTCGTCAGCTTTTTATTTGAATTTGCCCGTTCCACCTTAAATAGTGTACTCTTAAATAGAGTAGCGTTCTGGCTGCTCAGCTTATTCTCCAGATTCTTTTTCGAATTTTCTTGTTTCCACCTTTAATGTAGTAGCAGTTGCATGAGGTGCCAGAATGAGGTACCAAAATGTCATTGTAACAAGATCTAAGATGGAGCGGGAAAATTTGAGCTAGAAGCTGGGGCACATTTCAGGCACAGACATTTTCCTTGCCTTAAGCCCTGAATGCCGCAGCCTATTTGAGTATTGTTTCTGACCATGTGTATCCCTTCATGGCCACAATTCACTTCTAATGGCTGCTTCCAGCATGATAATGCACCATGTCATAAAGCAAAAGTCATCTCAAACTGTTTTCGTGAAAATGAGAACATGAGACAGTGAGTTCAGTGTTCAGTCATCGTCTTTCCAGTCACTGAATCTGAATACATTAAAACAACTTTGGAATCTGGTAGAACAGGAGATTCGCAGCATTTAAAGTGCACCTGAAACATTTACAGGAATTGCATGATGCAGTCATGTCAACATGGACCAGAATCTCAAAGGAATGTTTCCAACATCTTGTGGAATCCATGGCTCAAATAATTCAGACTGTTCAGAGCACATTATATTTAATATATACACATTTTAATGCACATTTTATGAATTTAACACATTTAGAGGAAAAAATTAAACATGTGGCATGTGCAAAAGATATGGCACAATTTATGCTGTATGTTTTATTTTTTCCAGCATGTTAAACTAAGCAAATGAGTAAAACATGTGCACCAAAACAAAAGAAAAATGGCATATTTAAGTTTGTTTACTGCAGAAGATATTAATGTAAATTCAATAAACCTCATATCTCCAAAATGGTAACTAACTTAACATTTCATGAAAGATAATGCAGAAATTATTCATTCCAAGTAATTTTGGAACATTTCTGTTGGTCCATTCTTCATGAAGTTTTGGCACATGTAAAAAGAAGCTGTTATTTTCAAAAATATGTCAAAAAATAAAAATGTAAAAATGTAGCTGTCCTGACAGCTAAGATATTTTCTTTTATATTTTACAAATGAAAAACTTCAGATGGTACCGTTCTCCAGAGCTGCTCTTTGGGGCCAGGATGTATGGTGTGGGTGTGGACATGTGGGCTGTGGGCTGCATCCTTGCAGAACTCCTTCTCAGAGTAGGTCACATGGCCATTGGCCTTCACAGATGTTCTTGTTTTAGATGTTCGTGCCTGTTTGAGTGTTCTTTTTTCTGTGTACTAAATTGATTTCTTACATTGCAAGGTACCATTTCTGGCTGGAGATTCTGACCTGGATCAATTGACGAAGATATTTGAAGCTTTGGGGACTCCAACAGAAGACACTTGGCCTGTGAGTACTTTCTGTGTCATGTATTTGTTTCACTATAGAGTTTATTTATATGTCTGATAACAATCTAATTATTCCACTGATGATCTGTTTTACAGGGAATGACCAGTCTTCCAGACTATGTGTCCTTCAAACTGTTTCCGGGCACACCTTTGGAGCACATTTTCAGCGCGGCTAGTGACGACCTTCTGGAACTTCTGCGAGGCCTATTCACCTTTAACCCTTGCACGCGCCTCACAGCCACAAAGGTACTGGACATTGACTCAGATTTAAGCCCTGACATGCAATAATGTCAAGGACTTTATGCTGGATATCAGTTACACTAGGATTATGGTTTAATCAGTGTCCAGGACATTAAAGCACTCTGACTGCTTCCCATTCAGGTGGCTTCCAGATGTCGTAGTTGGCTGTATTGTCACTGAGAGTGGTGTGTTATTTGCTTGTATGTGTCTGTCATGCCTCTGCATATTTATTCACAGTCTTTTCTTAATGGACATTTTAGGCACTGAAGATGAGATATTTCAGCCAGAGACCAGCCCCCACCCCAGGGCCTCAGCTCCCCCGACCAAACTCTTCAGCTGAAGCTCTGAAAGAAAAAGAAAACCTCACCATTGGCATTAAGAGAAAACGTGATGGTATTGAACAAGGTGAGAGAAATTGTTTTAATCAAGGGAAGAATGATATTCATGTTTCTGTCATCTTATGGTGAAAACCTTTGGTCTTAAGCTAGCAGTAAACTTCATGTAACAAGAGAACTAAATGAAATCGATCTGCTGCCGAACATATCCAGACATATTCTAGCAGTAATTGTGACTAATGTGTCTCAGTCTAGAGTAGTTTTGGAAAGATGTATTTCTCCCAGGTCCTGGACTAGGCAATAGCACCCAACCCCTTATTAACTTTATTTAGTATCTCTGAGGCACAAAATGTAACGGTGATGCCCTGTCCTTGTAAAACATGTAAAACATAAGTAGCCTGTGCAAAAGTTATGGTACATTTTGTAGTTTAGTTTTTTTTTCCCCTCAGTATGTTAAATACAGCAAATAAATAGAAAAACACTAAGTGGCCTTTTTAGAAGATTTAAGTGGTGTTTTTGTAGATGTGTTTCACTTTGAAAATCAACAAAACATAATTTGACATTGAAATATACACAAATTTGCATATGACTGTTTGAGTGCACATATATATTTTATATTTTTTCACTTATTCATTTTAATCCTTATCTGTATATATACTTTCTTTTTTACCACTATCACAACTTTAGTTGGAATAGGTAGGTTGGATTTGCATGGAAGAGCCAGGTTTCAGAATAATGTATAATTGCTACAAGATCACTGCACTTTCTCTCAAATCTTTACTTAAGTTTACATAAAATGAATAAACAGATTTAGAAAGAAAGACGTGCCACTAAGCACGCTGTCATAAGTATAGTTAAATTAAAAAACTCTGTTTAAGTGCTCCTGGAACAGATGTTTCAGTGATTAGAAGTTCTGTTTAGCAGCAGGTGCCCTACACACCATGCTAACTCTAACAACAGCTTTGTTTTGTCAAAAACATGTCACTTTCACAAGAATACTGCCAGCTTGCTTAAAAGTGGCAATAGAGTGCTACAGTACACTCTTAAAGATGATTCTTTAAGGTTTCATTAGTTAAGAAAATAGTTCTATATAGAACCATGAACACTCAAAGAATCCTTTTCGTGATTAAAGGGTTCTTTGCATCATGAAATGGTTGCTCAGATTGATGGAGAATGTGCTGTAGATGGACCTTTTTGAAAAGGGTTCTATATAGTATCAAAAAGGATTCTTCTATTGTTACTACGTCAGGCATGTTACAATAGAAGAACCCCTTTTTGTGCTGTTTACAAGAATCCTTTTCTAAAAGGTTCTATATAAAACCAATCTTTCAAAAGAACTCTTTCTCGATGAAAAGAACTTTTTAAACACGAAATGGGTTCTTTGAGTGTTTACAATTCTATACAGAAACATTTTCTTTGCTAATGAACCCTTAAAGAACCATCTTTTTTAAGAGTGTACAATGCGTTTGTCAGTGCTCTTATGTCTGTGTGTTGAATCATGATGCATGTACGTGTGCTGATGTATTTCACCTCCACTATAATCACAAAGAGTTAATAACTTTAAGTCCACTGGTACTGAATACACGCTGATTAGTCTTTTTTTATTGTTCAGGCACCCTGAAGAAAAAGCTGGTGTTTTAGGCGAGGAGGTTTGGAGAACCTGTCTGCCTTTTGAGCCACGTGACCACTAGTGCTGCTGAAAACCTCCACTGCTAATAGATACAGTGGTCAGCCATTCATTTAACCAATGATTGTGACTGCTGGGACAGACATATTTATGGGAACTCGAATAGTCATATTTTTCAGTTATTTTTTTACCTGCTGTAAGTAATTAAATTATGAGAAATGAGGTGTATTTTTTTTTTCTTTTCTGGGTGCTCATTGAATGTCACATTATGCATTTATCTCATTTGACATCACAAGGCGTAGGTCATCACCAAACTGACTTTTTCATATCACGTCAAAACATTGTAAGAAAATTTATATTTCTTTTGCTATATTCACAAGTTCAGAGTAAACGTATCAGGCACTTGCCGATTATTAATTATATATACACTTTTCTAAACCATTAAATATGTTTACCTGGTTATGCACACGCACAGAACTATTTCAAAAGCATTTTTTCAGTCCATTGTAGTGATAATGTTACATTCATACAAAGATATTTCTCCTCTTTCGATATAAAGTGGGCACTTTAACACATCAGCAACACGGTTTTCTGCACAGAGATACAGAAAATTAAGGTATTATTTGGAAACTGCCATACGAAAAAAAAAAAAGAATTCCTCAAGTTTATTATTATACAGTGTTGGCACCTTCTTCCTCTTTAATGTACTATAAAATTATCCTTGGTATTTGACAGTGTAACTGTAATACTTCTTTCACTCTATGTTGGGTCCCCCCAGTTACATTAACATGTAGAACAAGCTGGATGGCAATGGTAGGCAATTTTAGGTAGAACTAGTTTATTATTATTGTTATTATTATTAGTAGTATTAGTATTATTATTCCTATATTTTATACATTTTAGTAAATATATGGAGAAGTAAATTTTTAATTTGATAAAAAAAATTCTATAGGTCTTGTCTGTTGAATTTGAAGAGTACCAGGGACAGAGCAACTATTATCATTCAATATTAGAAAAGAGGCTAAAAGTTTTAACATTAAACAAAGATCATTTTGTTTTTCTATCATTAAGATTTAATCAGATGTAATCAGATGTCGATTTTAATTTGATTTGGGTATAATTTGAATATGAAATTCGGGACACCAAAGTGCCTCTTTACTGATAATGTCCCAGTTATTTATTTAGATGCTCTCAATCTTTCAGTGACAGAGTTTTATCCTGTAAGCTGCTGGTCTCTGGATTCAACAGCTTCATTTATCTGCTCTGGTTGCTAAGCAACCAGAATTTGGGTCCCAAACTGCATGGACGTGTGTGAGCAGGATTCAGTAGCCCTGAACGATGAAATGGGTTAAAATCATTTATCCTGCAGCTCTGTTTTACAGTCCTGTGAAGTAAAATATCTCACCAGACTCTCCAGTTACAAATTTATAACACATTTTTAATGTGTTAAACTTTTAACGGGCCCATATCATGGAGTTTTTCCTCACTTTTCTGAAATAAGAGATTTAAGTTGTATGTGAACACTGTTCAAGTTTCAAGAGGTATTGCTCACTTCCCAGTTCTTGCAGTGCATATATGGAAATTAAGTTGCAAAAACTGCTTGTTTAGCGATGAAAACTATCATGTACACCTATTTAGCCTACAGTAATGTAGCCCCACCCCCTCAAGCTGAGGCTACAAGGAGCATTTCAGCCAAGACTGTTTTCTGAAAGAGGTATAATACAGGTCAGCCAATCAGAACAGAGCTCATTTACATATTTCAGTCTTAAACACACAGTAACAAAAGCAGACTGTTCATTAATATGGGATAAGGAGAGGTTAAAAATGGTCAGGTAAAAAATAATTATGGCTGTCTTTGGAACATAAAACCATACAAAATGTACTATATGGGCCCTTTGAAGCTCATGCTTGAACTGATCTTTAAAGAAAACCAAGATATGTATCATAAACCCTGTGTGTGGACCATCCTGTTGAAATGTTTTTGCCTGAAAATAAATTTAAAAAAAAACTAAGTTCCTTGAAATTAGATTTATCTCACCAGTTTTCTAGCCTGTCCAGTCCCTTGCTGCCAGTCCGTGTAAATATTTCCCACGCTGATTCATTAGTTGGCACCGGAGCCCTGAGGGAGGTGCTGTTGTCACACACCACTCACCACCTCATCTGTCAGCTTAGTGCTTCACTGAACACAGTTCTGCTTCTTCGTCTGCTGCGCATGGCGTTAGGAAAGTACACAGACAAGTTTGCCTGGTCTTCTGCCATAGCAAACTGGACTGTGTACAGCTATGAAGAGCAGCAGTTACAGAAAGGGTGGGCTGCAGATATTCCAAGCAAAGGAAGGCTGTACCACCTTTTAACCCTGAAAACACATTGCCATTGACAGTGGTGTGGAAGCTTTGTTGATTTTGACACTTTATTGGAGGTGTGTGATGGGTTTAAGGCCCATCATGGATTGGTTTATTTATTAGATGGGCTTAAAGGTGTTGTTTTTCTTAAAGCAACCAGAATAATACGATTGTAGAATTGATGCTTTATGTTAGCCAACTTGTCCAGATCTATAGTAATATTACAGGATTCCTGTAAGAATCTTACAAACAGTTACTATGTAACTAGTTAATCAGTTAACAAGTTTACTACAGCACACTGCACAAGTATGGTGGATTACTATGAGACAGTATAGCAAAATGCAGAGGTGAAAAGACACATTATTCTCTAAGTGTTATACCACTATAGAAATGTTACAGTCTTATAGAATTACTATAGATCTCTTTTTGTAAGGGTCAGAAGTACTGTGGCCCCAAAAGTATTTAGACACATTAACCATTTAACCATAGGAACATTTTTATGAGTTCTTTAGATTAGTTGATAAATGTTTAACAAAAGAACATTGACCTGAATATAGTTGACTTTTCTCAAAGCAATCATTCATCCAAAAATCAGATTTACACTTCAAATGTAGTCGATCAGCCAGGCCATGTTCGTTCTCAAAAATTCACTTTAATTTTGCACTGGAGCTACGGGGCTAATGCAGCTAATAAATAGTGCAATCATATGGCAGCTAGATTAGCATCATCCAAAGTGCCTGCCTAAATCATCACACTTGCTTCAAACTGGGAGAAATCATCTCAAAGAGACTTGCTTAACTGATTTCTAACCCCTTCTAAAATCAATGTGGAGTCTGAGTAGAGTAGCTTGAACTCATACTCAGGTCATTCTCATCTAACTGCCCAAAACATGTCCCAAAACGTGAGTGTCATAAGCATCACTCAGATAAAAACATTAATTTCATTTGGTAAACCACTAGGAGCTCAATATGGTACAATAAAAAGTTTATGGAGTTCATTTTTCCACTATAAAGCTTTTTGGCATTTTTTACCCCATTCCCATTACTGTATGGTGTCCACATTTGTATGTATTACTACCGATATTTATATTTTCTTCACTTTTGTCATTAGAAACAATGAGTTTCTATTCATTTTACTTTAATGATTTCCTTGTAAACTGTCATGATGGGAACCAAAACAACAAAATGTTATGTGGCACAAGCGAAAAGACAAACTCAGTGGCTGTAAGTGTGAGATAAAAGAGCAAAATACTGTATTTTGCAAAATATATGTTTTAATAATTAGCTTTAAAATACTTAGTCTGACAACAGCATACAGGTTATGAAAAAAACATTGCTTACAGGCTTATCTTCAGTATGATGGTAGACTGTGGAGAAGAGTTCCAACCAGACTGCACTAAGGCTACTGTAAAGCACAGAGGTGGAAACATCTGGGGCTGTTTTTCTTACAGTGGTGTCGGTGAGCTTGTGTTCATTGATGGGATCATGAGCTCAAAAGTGTACAAAGACGTTTTGGATGCAAACCTGCAAAGAAACTGCTCGGACAATAACTGAAAGCTACCTTTTGAATGATTAGTTTGCATGTGTTTAAAATAAATGCGACTTGCATTGGTATTTTGATTCCTAACAAAACTAATACAGTTTTAAATATTTCACATGAAAAAATGCTGTAGTTAACTACAGCAAATTCTACACATTTTGTACAGTAAACAGTGTTTTTGAACCATACTAGTGCGTCAATTCTATACTTATTTACAATAGTATACAGCAGCCCTGTAGTAAATACGTTATAGCAATTTATTCATAATATAGTGAAAAAATTGTAAATTGTTTAATAAACAATGGACAGTATGACAGAGTTCTATGCTTTTTTTCAACACTGCATTGTACTAGACACCATAGTAAACACTACCTTACCCTAGAATACTATAGAATACTACACTTGACTAGAGAAAATACTATGATGTGTTATGGATATGAAAACGTCCAAATACTTTTGGGGCAACTGCATTTATGAAATGTATTTTTGGCTGCTGCACCTCCAACTGAGCCCTAATGCCCTAATGTATAAAAATGTGTAGCAGGTACATATTTTTATATTTTTAATAAGACTGTATTTTACAGTAACGGTGTCGATAATAAGGGGTTTGGAAACTAGAACAATGACGACAGCGGAAGTGACATCTGCTGAGTTTTTTCTTTGATTTGGTGGTGGTGGTAAAAAAACCAAGTTCAGAGCGGAGATGTGGACGCTGTAGAGATTCACTGAAAGGTGGCGAGTTAGTCTTTATGTATGCTGTCTCCGTCTTCCCGAGAGCTTCTGTTCAGCAGCGGGCTGTTTTTTATTCCTGAGCTCGGAGACAGAGGCGAAGAAGGAGAAGCGTGAGGAGCGGAGCGAGTCGTGTCAGTACGAGGACAACAACATCTGGCTCAAACTGGAACTGTACCTGTGAAAGGAGTTATTAATAACCTCTGTTTTGAAGATGTGCACTCCTTGCTGTGTATCTCAGGTGAGTGTCACTGGAAGAAGTTGACTTCAGATTCTCCGAATTCGAATTTTCCGCTCCACCTTAAACGGTGCAGTAGTAACTATCGTTAGTCAACCGTTCTCATTGGCGCCACGGTGTAACTGCTGCATCATTTAAGGTGGAACGGAAAATTCGAATTTTTAAAGAAGGTTTTAAAGAAGCTGACTGAAGCTTCGTTGTCAAATGTGCCTGAATGTGAGTTGCTGGTTGAAAACGAGTTGAGATGAAAAGCGTGGTGGTTGTTGGCTGTAGACTAACGTCAATACGCTCGCTTTAGTTCACTGTCAGTGGATTTTCTTTCTTCTTTTAACATTTTAACGTGCGGCTGTTGTCACTGGAACAAGACAGTGTAAGGCTTTTGGAAATGTTGGTACGAACGTCCAAACTCAAAAGTCATTTTTCCCTGTCGTGTCTCTTTGTTCGTGTTGAAGGAATGTCGAGTTGTTAGCTAACAGGCTATCACTGCTCGGTGTCAGTTTGCCAACCACACAATAGACAATAGACAGTCAGTTATAGAAAAATGTGTCCTTACTTATTTTTAGTACTTAGTTGTTTTTTTTTTTATTTTACACGTTAGTGAGCTACAGTGTCCGGGCAGAACATATCCATTACGTCACCTATGGCAATCCTTACAGTGCTTGTGGTTTTGGATGTTTAGTGCTTTTATCCAGAGAAGAGATTCAGACATGGTTAAGTTCCATTTGAAGACTTAAGCAGTTGTCTGACTCATTCGGTCAGTCTTAGCAAGTCTTACCCGACTAATATTCACATAAACAAAGTGGGAGATACTTTTTTCAGACAGTTTTCATCCACATTTCAGAATCTTTCAGCGTAGCAAGAGACATCATGCTTTTCCCATTTGTCTCCACAACTTACAATCAAACGCTTATGTTAAGCTCCTCTTTTCTCCTACTGGAGGTTTAGGTGAACAGTACTGAGATGTGCTTTGATTCTTCTGAGACAAAGAAAAATTCATCTTAAACACAGTATTTGTTTGCGTGGTGTTGCTTGTCTCAGACACTCAGCTGTTCTCTCTACTGTGACCTCCTAAAACTAACAGAAAGTCACACTGCTAAATTCAGACCAGCAGATTTGCTGTCTGTTCAAGTCAATTTTAAATGGCTTTTTGAACAGATCTAATATTCATCAGTGTCTGTTGATTTTATTTACATTTCTTTTTTTAGCTTGTTTCCGTCCACCACAGACTCGATCGACATCTCCCAAATGTGTTCAAATTGACCCTATTTAGTCAAAGAGGACAACACTGTGAACACAATTAGGGAGCAGTTAAGGAATAGTGGAGATAATCTGGGAAATGCAGAACAATAGAATTGTCAACACAATGTTGTCCCATTCTCAGTGTGCTAATTTCTGCCTTGAGTGGCCCACAGTTTCTGGTAAACCCCCTTTTTGTGTGTTGCGTGGTCCGCGGGTGGTCTTTTCATTTCCTAGTTGGATCCATGAGGCTGCTTGTTTGCATAAGATTAGCAGTGGAAAACAGAGAGAAGGCAGCCTGCGTCTGCTGGGCTGTCTCATTAGTGCTAAGCCTGTCAGGAGTCGCTGGCCCCACAGCCGGCTGAGGTGAGCACGGACGGCTGGCTGGGACCTTTTTCATGCCTATTCACCTGATTTGACTGCACTGGTTTGAGGGGATTTCCTTTGTAATACTCAACACCATCAAGCAATCCAGCAGAAATAGGTCTGGGCTTTGTGAGTGTCTAGATTCCACTGAGCCATTCAGCAATGTCAATGGGCATGAATGCTGATTTGGAGGATGAATTTCCATTCAAAGTAGACCTTTTTCAATTGGATAGGAAAGTGCTGCCTATGTTTGAAGCCACACATCTTGAGAAGAAGAAGAGTTTTGACTATGATACTATGAATGTTTCCCAGGTTGGCCTCATTTAGAGTAGACCAAAGCCAATGGCGCCTACATTCTTGTAATATTCTAGATCAGAAGAGGCTTTTTCTGCTTTTGATGGTATCTTTTAGAGATTTTATCACTTAGACAGTTATATAAACAGTTTGTCTGGGCAGTCGTCTTCAGTTGTCTGCGTTTGAGTCCCTCTTGCCTTGAATGACTTGATGACTACCTAATGATTCAAGCCTGACGATGTAAGCTTTTTACAAGCAGAAAAAAATTATTGTCAAGTGAAACTTTAGTGTATTTAGGACCAAAGATGTATTTTCTTGTTTGTTAAATGTAATAATTGTAATCTCAGGCACTAATGAGTTGTGGACACACATGAATGTTATATGAATGATAATGTGGACAGTTGGCAGTTAATACAGATCTTCCTTTTAATTAAACGGTGTGTCTGTGGTTGGTGGCAGTTTATCATTCTTGATGTTGGTTTGTGTAACACTGAGCTGTATTGTGGTTTGGGAAGTATGATGAAACTTCATGAAATACGTCTGTGGACGCGAGTCTGTCTTGAGAGGCATGGCACATCTTGAGTGCAGGCTTCTGCCTTTTTTTTAACAGCAGATTCTAGTCTACTCCTAATGGACACATCTCTTCCATTTTACTTTTTTTTCAAGGTCCAATCATGACATTTCTGTGGGTTTATGTATCAGAAATAGTCCCAGTTCATTTTTTACATGACCATTTTCCAATTTCTGTTTATCCCTTATGCTGCCTTCTCATTATGGTAGTAGATGAATGATGAAAGGCAAGATAATCCATGTTGTTAATGTAGCAGTGAGAGAATTGTGCCAGTGGCAATGGCAGCATACTGCACCAGTCAGCAGAATGTCAACAGTCCAGTGTTCCCACCTTTTGCTGTCAGCAGCAGCAATGAACTAAACCAGATGTTGATTTTTTTTTTTCTGAAATTCGGGTGCTGAGTGCTCATAGTTGATATCTTGCCATACTCGTTTATAGAGATGCACCAATATGGGAGTTGGGGTTCTACACCAATATTTGATATTTTTCAGATACGTGTCTTCCAGTGACATGTAAATATTGATAAAATCTGAACATTGGAACTAAATCTACCTGAGTTAGCATCCCAGAGTAACATAACACTTATTTCTGTTTCTGTATTACAAATGCAGTTAATTGAATAAAATTGAGACATTATAGCTTTCTAACTCAGCATTGCCTAGTCGATTTGTTTTTCTGGAATACAATAAATATGTCATCAAATATCAGTTTATATTATGTCAAATTTAGGGCGCTTTCACACCTGCTTTGTTTGGTGTGAACCTTCCACACTTTTCTTTAGTTTGGTCCATTTTTTACAGGTGTGAATGCACCAAAGAACTGAACTGTGGTCAGCCAAAAAGCTTGGGTCAAGTGAATCCTAGTGGTTCCCACCAAAAGAATGAAACCATCATTAAAGCATGCTTTCCTCTTTGTTTATCAGCACATCAGCACTTTACTGTCCACATAATCCACCTGAGCTTTGACAGACACTGATGCCACTCTTGCAGCACAGGCTGCTGTTTATAACAGCAAATGAATGATAAAAAATAGCAAAAATGCATTTAAATTTTGGCTCATGGATTGTGGACCGTATTAGTGTCATTGATCTGATTGGTTAAATTCAAATTGACCTATCATAAAGAAGCAGATATCGCATAATGTTTACTTTTATTGCTTTGAGTGTGATACATGAAAATGTTAAGCATCCCTACTTTCTATTTGTCCATTTTCACAGTGGCAAATGTGAGAGTGGCAGAGCACTTATGTGCTTTCTAAATTTCTAACCAATATACAAACACCCACATGTAAGTTGATACGCTTTAGCCATGGCAGTGTGAAACCAACCTAACCAAATGAAACAGATACAGTATCACAAACGCCCAAACTCTGGTTTGGACGTTACACATCAGTTTTAAGCATCTGTTCAACAGCAATACATTTTTAAAGAAAATATCTACTAATATTCCAAAATCATTGGGTATCACTACTTGTTCATATACAACAAAACTCAAGCTTCACTGAAAAACACACACATTTAAAATGTTAGCATGTGTCTAAAACCATTTTTAGGAGAAAACAGTGGCTGCCACAATAACCCCTCACAGAGGCAGGAACTCCACTACCCCTTGTTTTCATCACCCTGTGTCACCCTAACCCCTTGGAACTGAGTTACAAGGGTAGTGGTTGAAATCTTCCCCTACGAAATGGGACAACCCTCAAAAAAAAACAACAAAAAAACAACAAAAATTGCTTCGTTAACAGGCTACTAGTGGTGCTCTGTAGGCGACCCGGCCCATCTTCAGTGATAGCAGAGAAAGTATAAGTTCAGCAACCTCACTGCTGGGCTTAAGTTACATTTAGGGCATCATATGCTTTCAAAGACGGGGTATAAGACGATTACTTATTATCGCCCACCACTAATTCTTTGGTGATACGAAGTTGAAGTCAGCTATTCGCCAGCTTCTTGTTCAAATTTTCCTGTTACACCTTAAATGGTACAGCAGTTACATTCTGGCACTATAGGCGTCAATACTGCTGGACTATTTAAGGTGGAATGGGAAAGTTAGCAAGCTAGCTACCAAGACATTAGCATACTATTAGCGTTTCTTTGGTCGCTCATGCAGCCATCTTGCCGGTTTTTCTTTTTTTCTCATAACACTGTGTTTGGAGTGTGCCTCTGAAAAACCTCCGTTTGGAGGGCCATGTAGCCCTAACACTTCGCCCTACACCTCTATCTCAACAAAAATTGGGACACCCTAACCCTAGACATGAACATGTAAAACAGGGCTAAGGTCTAAGTGGTAGGGACAAGGGGTGAAATGGAATTGGGCCTTCCTCCACTGATCAATTTTAAACACGTCATGGTATTTAATAATTGTTTTGTGCATTTAATAAAGTTGAGTGCAGGCTTCTGCCTTTTTTTTAACAGCAGATTCTAGTCTACTCCTAATGGACACATCTCTTCCATTTTACTTATTTTTTCACGGTCCAATCATGACATTTCTGTGGGTTTATGTATCAAAAATAGTCCCAGTTCATTTTTACATGACCATTT